ATGTAACAATTAATGCAGGAATTCAAGAATTAATATTTGACAAAGAATAGGAGAGAAATAATTATTATAATAATTAATTCATGATTTAAAATGATTTATGATTTTCAAGTAATTATGTAAACAATTAATTTGACGACGTATAGACACTCGTCACCTCGCCTATACGTCGTTCACATGCATTTCACATAACTAATAATTTAAGGTTCTATTCCCTCAAGTCAAGGTTAACCACGCCACTTACCTCGCTTTGCAAATTCCAATTAATTACTCGACCACAACTTTTCCTTTGAAATTTGTCTCTAAAACCTTCAAATCTATTCACAAACAATTCGATATACTCAATACGAATCATAAGACTTAATTCCATGTGAATTTACTAATTTTTCGGATAATAATCTGAAATTCATTTAAATATCTGACAGTGGGACCCACATATCAAATCCCAAAAAAAAACTCACGAAATTCAAATACTCGTTCTGCTACGAGTTCAACCATATAAAAATTATCCAATTTCGATATCAAATGGACCTTCAAATCTTAAATTTTTATTTTTAGAAGATTTTATAAAAATCTGATTTTTCTCCCCTAAATTCACGAATTCATGATGTAAATGAGTATGGAATCATGAAATATAATCAATATAGGATGAGTAAAACTTACCCCCAAGAATCATACTCTTAATCACCCATGATTACCCAATCTCGAAATTGAAGATTAGGGGTTAGAGCCTTACCTCTTTGATGAAGAACTTGCGTGATTTTTTGTTGGATTTCAAGGCTTGAACAAGAATTTGATGAACAAAATAATTCATCTACTTCGAATAAGTGTGGATATTTACTCCGCATGTCCGACTGGGACTCCCAGGTAGCTGCCTCAATCGGCTGACCTCTCCATTGTATCCGAACTGAAGGATAACTCTTAAACCTCAACTGACGGACATGCCGGGCTAGAATAGCCACCGGCTCCTCCTCGTAAGTCAAATCTTTGTCCAATTGAACTGAGCTGAAGTCTAACACATGGGACGGATCACCATGATATTTTTGAAGCATGGATACATGGAATACCGGATGAACTGCTGATAAAGTAGATGGTAGTGCAAGCCTGTAGGCTACTTCACCCACCCTTTCAAGAATTTCAAAGGGTCCGATATACCTAGGGCTCAACTTGCCCTTCTTTCCGAATCTCATTACACCTTTCATAGGTGAAACTCGGAGCAATACTCTTTCTCCTGCCATGAATGCAACGTCACGAACCTTACGGTCAGCATAACTCTTTTGCTTAGACTGAGCTGTGTGAAGTCGATCCTGAATAATCTTGACCTTATCCAAGGCATCCCGTACCAATCAGTACTTAACAACCGAGCCTCTTCTGATTCAAACTAGCCAACTGGCGTACGACACTGTCTCCCGTATAATGCTTCATATAGAGCCATCTGAATGCTCGACTGGTAGCTGTTATTATAGGCAAACTCCGCAAGTGGCAAGAACTGATCCCAAGAACCTCCAAAGTCTATAACACAAGCGCAGAGCATATCTTCCAATATCTGAATAGTGCGTTCTGACTGTCCGTCTGTCTGTGGATGAAATGTTGTACTCAACTCAACCCGCGTGCCTAACTCATGCTGTACATCCCTCCAGAAGTACGAGGTGAATTATGTACCTCGATCAGAAATGATAGACATAGACACACCGTGAAGACGGACAATCTCGCGGATGTAGGGTTGGTGACAACCAATATTAAAAAGTGTACATGCATGTTTCCAAATTCCTGCAAACATGTTGGCGGCTGGGGTCAACACACCTTTAATGAGAATCTAATCAACTCTCGATTCCCATTTATTTAATAAGTCTTAATTTATTTGGCACTTCATATTTATTTAGCGTATAAAATGACAAAAACATATTAGAATAGTTAAAATACCTTATTTTAATGGAGTAGTATTTTTTTAGAAAGTATAGCCCGCAATGTTTGATGTGAAGAAAATTATATCTATGGTTCATAATTAGCGTGATCTTTCTTGTAAGTGTATGAATCCATATATTTCACTTTGTAAAGTCTTATATGATGTTCTTTTTCTTGTTTCATTTATGAGAATAAATTTCTATAAATTGGTTGCATGGAAAAATTTATAGCTAGCGTTGTATTAATTGGGATGTTGAACGATGTATTTCCTTTGAGTTTTATTACAATAACAATAACAATAACATACTAAGTGAATTTTTACAAGTGGGGTTTGAGGAAGATAAAATGTACACAAATTTTACCCCTACCTTGTGGAGATAGAGAGATTGTTTAGGATAGACTTCCAACGGAGAGAAAGCGATTCCAAAACAGGTTTGAAGATTTCCTTTGAGTTTCATTGTCATGCAATATTTCTGTACATCTATATTGTTATTCTAAGAAAGGGAAAGTTGGTGTTGCACGAGGTTGATTTAATAAAATTCTTGTTCTTGAAAGAAATGACATGTAGTACATGATCCTTTCTTCTTCCTTTTTTCCCCCCTGATTATGAACGTATTGAAAATGGTATTTTATTCAAAAGGTTGAAATATACTAGGTAAAATGGAGGGTAATGTAAATCTAATGATTGAGAATACAAATTTAAAACTTTGTTCAGTTCCTCAGATATCTTTTTATCTAAAGTGAAAAGAAAAAAGAAAAAAAAAGAAGAAAGGCATTTATTAAAGTAAAAGAAAAAAGGAAAGGTATCTACTAAAGTGTCAACCCTGTGGTACTTGAAATGAACAAAGCAGAAAAGAACAAAATAAACTAAATATATTAGGATATTAAATTTTTTCCATAATGTAATATCTTGTAGTCGTTAATTTCTTCAATAAAGATAATTATTTGTCCACCCACCCACCCTCGTTAATTTCTTCAATAAAGATGATTGTTTGCCCACCCACACCCACACCCACCGCCCTTTTTCCACATCTTGTGTAATGTTTATTCAGGCAATTTGCAGCGAGTTCAGTGCAAAGTTATACACCAGCTATATTATTTATAGAGTAAATTTTATGAATGATCATTTAATTTTTTGTTCATTACCCTAAAATTACTTTTTTTATTATGTAAAAGTTATTTAAGTTTGTGTTTATTACCCAAAAGTCATTTTTCTTTCTTTTGTCACACAAAAGTTATTCTACTATGCTCTAGTTATCACAATTGTCACTTTGACCAATTTTTATAAAACTTCACTTGAAAAGTCTATTATGTCCTTGACATTATAAATCCCCCATTTATGTAATACCTTTTATATTATATATTGTATAGTATATTTTTATCTAGGTATTTTACTTATAATTAAAATAACTTAAGTATTAATATTATTAAATTTGTTAGTAACATTCTGTGAATAAATCTCAAGTCAACATTCTTAACATACCTAATGAAATATTTTTAACAAAAATTAATTAAAGCTCACAAATTTATCAGTCAAGCCATATTCGTTAATCAAACAAATAAAATACCCACATTTTTCGCACTGACACATCAAATTAATACTTTAAAAAATATATATTAACAGATAAAAGCTTTAAAAGACTTAATATTAAACACAAATATCTTTGATATTTTTTTGAAAGTTTTAATGAATATAAAAAACTATCATTTGTTAACTAAATTTGTTTTTATTATTTCAAATAAATATTTTTTGTCATTTTTATGCTTCAATATATGTTCATGTTTGAATATGATTAAACAAATTGAGTGCCATGACAAAATTAAATGTACGAATATATTATAAAATAATATAAAGTTATTTTAACCATAAGTAAAATACCTAGGTAAAAATATATTATATAATATATAATATACATAAGGTGTTACATAATGGGAGGATTTATAATGCCAAGGGCAAAATGAATTTTTCATGTGAAAGTTTTATAAATTCTGGTCAAAGTGACTATTGTGATAACTAAAGCATAATAAAATAATTTTTGTGTAACATAAGAAAGAAAAATAATTTTTGGGTAATGAACACAAGGTTGGGTGACTTTTACGTAACCAAAAAAAGGAAAAGTGACTTTAGGGTAATGAACACAAAATTGAAAGACCACTTATAAAATTTACTCATTATTTATATGATCAAATAATTGTAAAAAAAAAATAAAAGAATTCAAAAAAATGTGGTACTCTTGCATGAAAATCCAAGGCATCGATAAGGAGTAAGGAATGATAAGGAGCAATGCTACGTGTAGTTTTTATGTGCTCCATTAATTATGACGAGTAGAAAAAGCAACTCACTTTTTGGTTCGATTTTTGTCAAATGCAAAGATAGGAAGACCAAGATTGGGGATGGGACCATTGCGCGAATTTTTCAAAATACTATCGTATTTGTGTCCGATCTTTCAAAATTATATTACGTTCGAAGGATTTAACATGCATCCAATAATATTTTTGAATAATCTGGATAATATATGATGGGACCCTAAATGTCGTTGACGGTCGAAATCCCTTCACTTTTAATCGACTAGATTTTTGAAGTCGAATTTTACCTATATATATGATAGGTTTACTCACTTAAAATTTTAGCTAGTCCGGCTAGTGAGTTTTGAATATCAGAGGTACGTATCAGACAAAATTTGATATGTTTTAATAAGGGGGTGGAGTGGACTGAATTAGCCCAAGTATCTCATTGCTTAACCACACCATTTCTGAGATTAGTTTTTTATCCTAAACACCTTCAATTTATTCGCCAGAAATCACGAGGACACATAACAATAGGATTATCCAATCCTTGCAAATATTAAAAAAATTGAATTTACACATCGTCCGACAAGGCGAAAAATAATGATTATTTTAAAAATAGAATAATTGTTTGGTTTCTTCTTTTATTCTGTCATTCCAAATATTAAATATTTCAGTATAGGGTGACATCCTCCTTTCTGTAATGAGTATCAGCTTATCTGTCCGTTTATCGTTTTCCTATGAAATATTTCAGGTATAATTATTCATTCTTTTAAAAAGAAAATATAAAGCCAATCGAGTCGTAGAGTCATTCATTTTGTTCAAAAAGAATAAAAAAAGTTTTTCTTAATCAACATAGGAATTGTGGTAGTAATAAGCTTCTATTGAAATTCAGAAATGAAAATTCTGGAATGGTGAAGCAGCAACCTTAAAATCTTGGAGCATATTGATAGAAACTGTAGTTAATTAGCCTTAGCTTGGAGCATAACCTTAGCCTCTACAAATCTCCACAGATTAAATGGAGGTCATATAAATGATAAAAAATGGTCACTTGCCTTAAAATACTATTATTATTACATGCAGGTCATTGATGGCCAGGCTTAAGCATAACTAACGGGCACGGGCGGAGCTATCATGGTAGACATGGGTTCGGCCGAACTGAGTAGTTTTTGTTCAAACTATGTATTTGTCTTAAGAAATTCATTAAATATAAACAAATTATTAATTTAGAACTCAATAACTTAAACAGACTAATATCCCGAACAGGGGCGGAGCTACAGTAGTGGGTGCAGGTTCGGGCGAACCCAATGATATTTTTCGGAACCCTATAATTGTATTGAAATATTTACTAAATCTATATAAATATATACTGCCGAACCCAGTAACAAAAGGAGTCTTGGTTCAATGGTAAGGGTTGTGAGTTCGCTTAGAAAGATGGAGGTTCAATTCTCGCTGAAAACAGTTTTTTAAAATTTAGAACTCACACACTTCGAATTCTAGCTCCGCCTCTGATCCCGAACGCATAAACTTCAAATTTTGGCTCCGCCTCTGCCAACGGGAGCAGAATCAGGTGGCAGATCTTCTAGCAAAAGAAAGCGGGGGAAGATTAAGCTTTTTGATAGACACATCTTTTTGGTAGTTCCTAATGTGTTTGCTAATGAAGTTGTATGGGCAGACATCTAGGAAGTAGGAGCAATAATCCTGTTGTTAGTATATATATGTATATATAACCAAAACAAAACTTGAAATCTTGAAGCACAAGAAGTTTTAACACCAGACATTGTAAAAGGATAAATATTTAAAAATTACGATGGGACTCAAGGTTACTTTTTTTAATTTCAATATAATCATGGTGTACGAAAAACCTTACACAACTAACTCAACAAAATACTTCCCACCAACATGTACCAAATAACTTACGATTACTTTGTTAGTTACCATACCAAGTAACCAATTAACTTTTTGGGTAGATTTGTCAAATGCAAAGAAAAGAGAGACATGTGAGAGAGTGGGTTTTGGACTTGGGGTAATAAGTAAGATGTGACTTGTGAGACCTAAAGTTTCACATGAAGTGATTGCTTAATTAAGGTATATGGTGGCATTGGAAATGCAGCCCTATATGTCATACCTTAACTATATCATTTCCAGATAAGGTCCTATCCTTAATGTCCATCATTTGCCAGAAAATTCACAAGAAAACATAAACAAAGGATTAGTCCCATTGGTGTTATCACCTAAACTTATTAATGAAGAAAAGGATTAGAGTAAGAGCAATCCGCCGAATGACTGATATGACCATTCTTTTAAAGAAAGGAAAAAAACCCGGAGAAGTGACATACATGTGAATAGATAAAGAGAAAACAAGAAGAGAGAAAGGTTCTTGTATTTGAACCATACACCATTTGAGGGCAGTGTTAAGTTCCATTCGTTGCACTACAACCTTAGACGAATTATGCTGGAATTAGTTATGCTGATATTGATTATCCTGATATTATTTCTTATTGACTGTTTGGTATGTAGTATTAATCTGTCAAATTACTGTTTTATCCTAGGATTATTATTTCACCTTCTGGCACGAATAAGTTATCCCAATAATATTTTTAATCGTGTGATAGCTTATCCCATGATTAATAACCAAATAAGGAATAAAACGATACTAAATTTTTATCCCGAGATAATTACTTTTGTTTAAACAAGAATTAGATCCAGGATTTTAAATTACTCAGTGAAGATTTTAATATTAGATTGCAGACTATACAATATCCACAAGAGTGTCACTAAGGACATTTACATTACCAAGTCTAGCCAAATTACTACTACATAATAAGACACTTGCATTATTATTCTTTAGTATCTTTTTTGCTAACTATATAATATGTTTATTTTGAAGGTAATAGGTATACCTGCAATGGCTACAAATATTCCCTTTACCGGAATTAGCCCAAGTATCTAATTCATTAACCACATTTTTTTCACATAGCTTTTATCCTAAACTCCTTCACTTCATTTGCCAAAGTGATGATAAACCAGATTTTGGGAAGATGCATGGTTGGGTCACACCCAACTAGGGGTTATACGCACACCGCAGATCAATGATTTGAATTCTATGGGTTCGAACTCATTATATTGTTAAAGTTATGGGTCTATATATGTTGTTTGTTCTTATTTTAGATAATTTTTATACATAACTCTATTCTCCGTGTCAAAAATACTAGGTTCAGATGAACCCGATAGGCGTAGGTACCTTGTTTGAAGCGGTGTCACGTGACACCGCTTCGCCAATTTTTTTTCATAATCTATATACATAACAACAATAACAACAACAACAACAATAAAAAATCCAGCTTAATTCTGTAAGTGGAATCTGGGGAGGTTAGTGTGTACGCAACATTACCCCTACCATATAAAGGCATAGAAGTTGTTTACGATAGGCATAATCTATATTTATAAATAATTCATAAAATTAAAATATTGGATAAATATAAGAAATGACATTGCTTGCCATTACAGTAATTTGTTCATTTGTTTATTTCTTCAAATATTGACACCGCTTACGAAAATTGTTGCTTACACCACTGATGAACCCACCACCGCTACGCTTGATCCGCCCTGAGCGCACCTATCCTTGATATTGTTATCTATAATAATCTTTACATGGAATTGTAGAGGGCTAATTAAAGCCTCCTACAAACCAATGGTCAGAGATATTGTTAATGAGTGTAGACCTAATATACATGTCTTTTTGGAAACTAACTATGTTCCATTTATATCATGTGAAAACTTCTTTAATGGAATCGGTTTTAGGAGATCTAATTTTGAAAATCCAAATGGTAGAGTAGGTGGAATTTGGATTCGATAGGATACAAACATAATTACTGCTACTCTAAGATCCTCTAATTACCAAGTTGTTCATATAAATATATACAAAATCCAAACTTTCGAGAATGGAACCCGATAAATAGAAAAAATTTAATGGATTTTTGTATGTATGTAGGTGTGCCAGAAAAAAAGAAGCTTCTTTTATTAAACAAATAGCCGGCCAGATTCAGTTTTACTTTTTCTAGCATGTATATATAAATTATACATTGATTGTACACAGTTATATATATATATATATATATATATATAGATTTGGAGTTAAAATNTATATATATATATATATATATATATATTAGAGAGAGATATTATCCGCCGGCTATTTATAGTATAAGAGATTACGTAAGCGGCTATTTGGGTTAATACTTCAAGAAAAAGATTGCATGTACTTGGCATGGGTGGATTTAGCTAATGTTACGAGTTCATATAAACTCAATATTAAAATATTTATTAAATATTTATAAATTTTTGAATGAATTATTGATAATTCGTCAGCTCATAAATATAAAATAATATACTCCGAACCACATTTTTTGAATCACATTTCTTAAGTGAACCAAAGTCCATCCGAATTGATCTTGTATAATATCTTTGTGTTACTAAAGGCCAATTGTAGGCCACTATTGATACTTGGATTCAACAAAATGATGTCTTCTGCCCTTAGTGAAATTAAACTTGAAAGAAAATTTCAAGGAAATTAAAATTGTATTTGGTCAAAACATATAGCAAATATTTTATGAACTTTTTTGTAAACTGAAATCGGCACTTCAGTTGAAAAATAATTTCATATTAATATATAAATATTTTATAAGTTCAAGTTCAAATAATATTTCACTCTAAACCTGAGATTTCATAGGAGCAAATATATGCAATCCCTCAAACTTTTGAGCAACATATGTTAGAGAGTTACATTTACACACTATGAAAATTGGAGAGAAGTAATTATAATAATGTTAAAAACCTCAAATAAATGGTAGAAGGTAACACCATTTCATAATTAATGAAACTTTCCACATAAGTTATTTATAATTACTTACATATAACCCCATAATATTTCTGATTATTTTATTGACGAGATTTTCAATAAGGCTAATATGTCAAGATGTGCAAGCAGGTCGTCGAGGAGGTAGTTGTTGATGTGGTGTTCTCTGTTACAATTCAAATGCAATATTCGTTACATTTCCAATTTTACATACTTAGTAGCAAATATATTACTATATATAATTATTGCTAATAGAATAAGAAAATATTTTCTCTAGAATGTTAGAGCAATTACCTGTAACTTTGGGCTCAATGTCTCTATAGCTACTGTTGAATTTTGACTAACTCCTACACCTTGCTGTTATCGTGTATAATTGAAAGTATGAAAAATCCATGTTAGGCAATCAATATTCTCAAGAAAATCACCAATATTAAAATCAACGGTACAAGGATAAGCTCTTAGGGGTCGTTCGATAGGGAACAAATTATTGAGGGATTATAATGATAAGATTCTAATACGAAGATTAAATATTGACGGAATTATTTAGTAAATATATTTTTATTGAAAGATGTTTGATTCATTGGACTAAAAAAAAGGATAATGGGGTACAATATAAACATGTGTTTGGTATATACTAGATAAGTTGAGATAAACTTTTAATTCTAATTTTAACCTTGGATTGTTTAAAAGACTTTGGGGGAAGAGCCTCCAAGAAGGACCTCTTTGTCATTTTAGTGTTTATCCCGGAGTTAATTATAGGATTATTATCGCACCCTCAATGTAAAATAAAATAACATTCAATTGTGGGATTAATTAATCTTGGAATTGGCAATCCCAGATTTAAAATTCAATCAAACGCTGAATAAAATAATTTCGCATCTAATTCAGGATTATTATCCCTTATCCACATGCCAAACGGCCCCTTAAGGATTAGGCATGAGCTAAAACCCCTTCGCATTGAGTGTTTACATAAAATTGAAAAATGCATGACATATATTTGAGCATACACTTTTTCACTCTTAATCATGGTTAATTAGCATATATTATCACCTCATCAATTTATTTTAACTATGATAAATTACTAAATTTTGTGGTAATACCAGGTGTAGATAAGTTTTTACCCCTCTTTAGACTCCCTCGATCCAAAACATCCATTTTCGTTTTGAATTTAACTTATATATATTGACAGTATAAATATTTTATTTTTCTTACCGAATCAATGTACGTAATTGTTATAACAAGTTATTTGGTTTATTTTTTTTAATAAACTCGTTCTCCTTATTGTATATGGCAGTATAATTATAAGATGTATGAGATTGAAGCTAATATATTACCTTGCACAAGGCCCAGTCTGCGGAATCAAAAAATGCACGTTTATGGTCCTACACGCAAAACATAACATTATAAATAACTTATACTGACGGCGTAAAATTCTTATACTGACGACGTATATAACTTAATCTCTCTAAAAAAAACTCGCCTTTGAAATCAAAGGCTTTTTCTTTGGCATAAGTTCTCCATATCTTTTACCTGAAGCAATAGCCTATAAGAATTCACAAATAAACAGATCAGGCTTGGTTGAAATCATTAAAGCTCATTAAATTTATGAATCAAAACCAAATGTTTTTATGCCGACAGATTTTAAGTAATAATGTGCTAAAATTATATACTCTGAGCTATGAGTGGCTGAAATATACACAAAATATTCACTTATGTTTAGGGCCACATATTGTAGACCCATGCCACATGTGCCCATTGACCCCAAAACATACACTATTATTTATGGCATTTTTATTCAAATTTTCTCATGATATTTTCTTGGACCACATCAAGAAAAATACAAAGAAAATCATGTGGGAATCAGGAATAAATCTAATGTTATCTTGCATGCTATAACCTATAGATGCATATATATGGTTCACAGCCTCGGAAATTATATAGGTGGTCTACGTCACATCACATCCGGTGGCGGAGCTGGAAGGGGATTCAACCCAACCTTATTCGTCGAAAATTACAATATATATATATATATATATATATATATATATATATATATATATATATATATATATGGGGGGTGGGGTGTATCCATGTGTTTATTTTTCTTAACTTTTGAATCTCGTTGGTGAAAATCCTACTTCCGCTACTGATCACACCCCTTGAGGTTACGACCCTTCTCCGGACTCTGCTTTGTGCACCACATTACCTTCTTTTCTCTCCACAATTGTCTCCCAATGTACTCATAAACTTAATTAAAAAAACACACACAGAAAAAGAATCTGATAATCAATAACACAAAATTCAAACTAGAAGAAGCTTAGTATTCCTACATCAAACCTATATATGAAGATATAATCCATTATTTTCTTATGATCAAAGTTTAACATTGCGAAAGAAGATGATTATTTACATGTAAGAAAAACTATTCTATATCTTATTTAACTTATGTAATGGTGTTTAATTTAAAGGTAAAAACAAATAAGGATTTAAGTTGTATGCACTAACAAATTAAAGAATTATAATTTAACCGACTACATCAAAATATTACTATCGTTAAACTTACTATGTTAAGTTGTTATGAAGAGTTACCTTTCTTTATATAGGTTAATTTAAACGGATACTATAAAAAATTATACACTATTAATACACATAACTTACAGTCGAAAAAATAAAACTAATTACATACATTTTTCCAATTATACTTGAAGATAAAAGAGAATGAAATGTTTGGAATTAAACAAGAGATAAGATTACCAAAAAGGCAAAAGAGGTGTGCAGAAAAGCAACCTTCAATTCACAAATTTCACATGCTATTGGTGGTAGTTAAAGCTACTTATCTATTACGTGAAGTTTTGTCCAACAAGTAACTTAATCAATTAAATGTATTTTGAAAAAAGAAAAAAAAAGTTTAACTTAATAAGCAGATTTTTTTTCTTCTTTTTTTTGCACTTTCAGGTTATTTAAAAGCCAATTACGGATAATTGTATGCATTCAGTGTGGATTGATATTTCGAAAAATATACAAGTAACGTGATACAACTTGTTAGCATAAATATATAACAAAATCCATTTTGATAACAAAAAATTTAGCAAAATAGCGTTTGGTTAGACAAGTTCGTGCCCGTTTGGACATAATTTTTTTTTTTTTACTTTTTCCCGAAAATATATATATATTTTTCGAAATCAGTGTTTGGCCATAAAATTTTCAATTTTCACTTAAAGATGAATTTTGGAATTTTTCGAAAATTTGAAAAACTCCAAAAAGCTGTTTTTCAAAAATTTCACTCAAATCATTCACAAAACTTCAAAAACAACCAATAATAAGTAGGCGTTTGGACATAAGAATTGTAAAACTCGAAAAAATTGTGAATTTTTTTTCAAGTGAAAATGGTATTTGAAATTTAGAGTTGTGTTTGGACATAAATTTCAGTTTGGGTTGTTTTTGAACTTTCGTGAGTGATTTGAGTGAATTTTCAAAATGCATTTTCAAGTGAAAATGGTATTTGAAATTTAGAGTTGTGTTTGGACATAAATTTCAGTTTGGGTTGTTTTTGAACTTTCGTGAGTGATTTGAGTGAATTTTCAAAATGCATTTTCAAGTGAAAATTGGAAATTTTATGAACAAACGCTGATTTCGAAAAAAAAGCGAAATGTTTTTGGAAAAATCTTCAACCAAATTGTATGTCCAAACGGGCACTAATATTTATGTCCAAACACAACTCTAATTTTCAAATACTATTTTCACTTGAATTTTTTTTTTCACTTTTTTTTTCTTAATTTTACAATTCTTATGTTCAAACGCGCACGAAGTAGTTTTTCACTTGAAACAACAAAAGTTCAAATAAAATTGACGGAAAGGAGAAATAGCTCTTTTTCCAGCATATAAGCAGACTCACAATGATTTTACATCCCTTACACGATGCGAATTCGAATAGTTGACCAAAGCGGAGACCAAATACCAAATGTGAAACAAAAAAATAAAATAACCGGAAAGAAAAAAATCTCCTTTTGTGGAGAAAACAAAGACAAAAATGTAAAAGAAATACTTACAGATTATACAATAATAAACCCATTATTATATCATAAGGTGTGGTCTCGGGAGGATAGTATATATACAAACCTTACCCTATTTAGAAAGGTAAAAAGATTGTTTCAAATAGACACTCGACTCAAGGAAATACGAATAGAATATAAGAGGAAAATAGAAGAAGATAAATTAAATACAAGAACCAACTTCTAGTATTATAATTTGTGTTAAAACTGAGAAAGAGTACCTCATGATTTTGAGAGCAGACAGAAAACTCTTCACTTCTATTAGAATCTGTCATCTCTATATTATAGAAGCAAACAAAGGCAAGAAAAATTTATATAGAAAGAGAAAGTGGGAAATGGGGAAAAGGTTGTTGTTAGGAGAAAAAAGGGTGGTTGAGTATATGAGTATAAGACAATAACTGTAATATCGCTACTTTATTTTAACCTACACGTATTAAAGACATTCAATAGAAGATATATCATAGAGTAGGTAATTATCCATATTTGTGCAGGTATCACGAAATAGCTGTGGCGGATTCAGGAATTTTAATGAGAAGATTAAAAATATACAACAAAGGTAAATCTAGTATTCGAACCTAAAGCAATTCTTTGAACCATCTCTGTCATTATACTGAAAAAATTCAAAAATTTATTTTTATCTTATTTGCACAGTATAATTTTTTGAGAATGGAATTTAATTAAACTTCCTTCATTTACGAGTAGTTTTGCCACTATCTGATAGAGTACGCGTGCACAAACTGATCCAAATATCACCATTGTAACAAAAGAAAAAGATATTACAAAGAATATGAAAAAATTAAAAAGAGGGTTGACTACGTATAGGTACATAGAAAGTAGGAAAAACTACACAATATAATCACTCTAAAAAATAATAGTCGATAATATATATTTGACTAGCGAATATAATTATTTTTGGCCGACCGGCCAAATGTGTTTCTTGCCCTAGAAAGAATAGGAGTTGGGCTGTTACCACATCAACATCAATTGGACTCTTTAGGCTTAGCCCGACCAATAGGCCCAATAGACATACACTATAGCTTCCATAAGTCCTAATTATGCATTTCGGCGCTGCAAAAAATTGTAGTAATTTAATTAGTATAAATTAAAAGGTGTGTATATAAAAAGTAAGTTATCAATATTTATTTAACTAAAATATTTTCATTCATTTATTGTTTCTTCACAAAAGTTGGGAGTAGAAATACTAAAAACCTTTTTTAAAATCTTTTTTGTTTGTAATAAAAATGTACAGACTTCATCTTTTTCTTGCCTAAACCAACAAAACACCTAATTCAACCAAAAGTAGAAAATATACTTTGTCTAATTGTCATTAATGGAACATTATTTGAGAACAGAAGCTCATACGTGCAAGTAATACTTCATCTTTAGGCGCAAGTTATACAACTTAACACATTGAGATCTTAAACTTATAATATCAAATACAAGTAAAATTAACTACTGCTTGAATTTTAGTGCAAGTAAATCAACTCCGACTCAATAAACAATTACTTCCCGCATTTCATTTTATATATATGATACCATTTTCTTATTAGTTATTTCTGTAAAGAATGAAACGCTAGTATATTTGTAAATAATTTAATTTTAGACTTCTCATTTTATAGCAACAAAAGTATTTTAACAAGTTTAAGCCAACAAGTTCTATAAATCCTGTAGTTGTAAAAATTAATGACATGTTTAATACCACTAATATCAAAATTCTTCCTCTTTTTTTTTTTTTTTTTTTTTTTTTTTTTTTTTTTTTTTTTGTAAACTCCGGGTTTAGTCAAACAAGGTTGCATAAATGAAATGGAGGTAGAGTGACTTGCAAAGAAGCCAACATTTTATTGGAGTAAAGAAAGTAAACATTACAACTAAGAGAAACTGACTACCTTATTAGACAAAAATGTCTTAAACGTGTCTAAATTAATGCTAGATATTCCCAGTTCTGGGACCAGATTCACAAACTCGAGGAAGTGAACAGAGGGCAAATATGAGGTATGAAGTGAGCTGCATGTTTATAACATTGCCCAATATCATTATATCAATATCTTACAGTTGGGGTAAAAAAGAATGTGACTATGAGGGTGTTTGGATTGGCTTTTAAGCTATAAGCTGGGCAACTCATTGTTTTTTTGGCTTAAAAGCTATTTCTACGAAAAAGCCACTTTTTTATGCCAATCCAAACGAGCTCTATATATATGCCGGTTGGTGTAACTTCCATATTTCAGGCTGATGAATGATCCATATTGTCTAATTACTCACTGGGATTAGTGATATCTATCCAAGAACTTCTCAATCAGGACTGAAAATGTAGCAAAGCCAGCACAACCTGCACATGCAGCTTTTGGGCCACCTGAAACAAATGGGATTGTTGTATAAATAAAAAGAGATAATAATTTGGAATAGCACAGTCCAATTACTTTCTTCATCAGTCATAAAAAAGCTGTAATTAAACAACCCCACACAGGCTTGGTTCTACAAGCAAATTTAGCATCTAGTATCATCAAATGTCAAAAGCCATAACCAAAGAAGAAGAAAAAGGAGAGAGAGAGAGAGAGAGTTCTGATGGCAGAAATTAAACTAAAGAACAAGTCTTGTGACACAGTTAGCTTCAGTATAATAAGCTCTCTATCACTCTAATCCTGCTCATATGTTTTTATGGCTACCCTTCATTTTATAAAATTTAAAAAAGGAGAGAGAGTGAGGGAGAGAGAGATGACTCCAATTAGAACCCCCGTATAGGATAAATTGTCAACAATGTTTTGTCCATCTGGTTCAGTATACTGCAGCATATTCCCTGAACTAGATTAGGAGAATGCAATAATCTGCAATAAACTCCTTACTCTGGGAACTCGGATTATGATGGGAGTCATAAGAGATGAAAACGGTAGTTATATGCGTCACAACATCAAGCTAGAACACAAAAGGGCACACTTCGTGTATGAGCTCTCCCAACCGGTACGTTGAATTTGGATGGGTAGCATCTTTATAGTTGAAGGGCGAAGTTTCTATTTCCTTGATGCCCTGGATCAAATGGAATTTAAAATACTTGAACTATGACTCACTTCGACTATAGGTTTTCCTCTAAGAAAACTAAAGGAAAGCAGTCCCAACAACCCACCACCCTTTCTTCACCACCTCATAAATAATGAATTAAGTCAAGAATAAGAAACTTGTCTTTGACACGTCACATAGCAGCGCTGGATAATATAGGGGGCTCAGGGAAAGCCCCCATGAATTTCTGTATCTTATCCTAGTACTCATGTCAATAACAGTGACGAATATAAGAAAATATATAGATCCATCTGTATTTAATGTTAAAAATATTTGTCACCCACTAACACCAAGATACTATCCGATTCCACACCCACCAAAAAGGCAATCCTAATTGTCCCAAGCCCAAATATTAAACAACATTTTTTTTCATGTAGGTCTCAAAAATATGAGACAGGCTAATATTTCATTCAAGTAAAATTAGCAGTACAAGCATATGTAACAAAATCGAGGAACAGATGCAACGACATCAATATCAACGTCAACGCCTTTGTTTTATGAGAAAGGTACATCAACATCAACGCCTTAATCCCAAACTAGTTGGACTGACTACAAGTGTTTCAACCAATGCACTTTTCTCAAACTTTTGGATGCACCTTCACTTTAAGTTGCCGATACCTCTTTGGGGAAGAGTTTGCGTTAGGCATTTGATTTTTCTTTCTTTAATATACAGTGGGAATAACATTCTGATGACATGACCCTGAAATTTCTTCTTTTGCTTTTTTATGTGAAACTCTACTACCCTGCTCGTCTCTACATGAATCTCACTGTCCATGTTGCTCTATCTAAATAAAAAGTATATGAATAAATAACAGATGCAAGATATGAAAATATATCTAAGGAAGATTCCTGTTTGTAAATACTTGTAACAAATGTTACCTCTAGCTGATAATGTGCCTCCCGTTACGCACCCTGCAACTGCTGTATTTGTCATGTCATGTTTTGCCCGTGCCTGTTAACATAATACAAGAAAATACTTATGCCATTTGAGTTTTAGATGAAAAGTACCTCACTCTAATTGTGAGAATGATTTCCAAATTCTTTTCCTTTTTTCCAAAAATTAACATGAAAATCGCAAAACAAGAGCTGTAGAACCCCATAAGGTTATAATCCCTAAGATCAAATGTACCTTCTCATCAACACATTCAGCAGCAGAGAAAACCAAACCCATAACAGCAAAAGTTTTGCAGGAACTCCAACTCCTCCGACCCATCTGCTTTGCTTGGTATACAAGTTGTTGCCTAGTAGTCATTTCCTCTTGCATTATTGGGTTATCCAGTGCCCCTAGAAACAGACCCATGAACAACCCTAGTCCCCCTCCTACAAAAGCGAAACAATGTTCAACAAATGAACCCAAGAAGTAACCTCACAGCAGAGTCCATAAGCATCCACGGAGACACCAATTTAAGCAAGTTACCAGAAAGAATAATCTTACTAGATACAAAAATAAGCTCTAGATCCAGATTTTATTCACAAGCAATGGCAGTAGGTAGAGCTTGTAAGCTAACTGGAATGAAGCTTTCTTTTTCTCTACTACAGAACTACAAGAGAATAACTATCACAGCAACGGGATTAAGATTAAAGTCTCTTGTCTTACCTCGACACTTGTAACATAATTATTACATCAAACCAGTATTGTCATCCATTATCCTCAGGTATTGCAAGAGTGACAATTTGGACCATCCATTTAAAAAAAACAATGAACAGGTTGGCGCTCAGCTAGATGAATCGTCACTAACCACGTTACTCCATTTAAACTCATCTCATGCCAATATTATACAAATATTCTAAAAGTATAAATCTTTGAATGGCTAAACTACTCCTAGAAAGCACAAGACCTACACTAAAAGTGCTAATGTCTAAAACATATTCTCAACTAATATGCATCGCCTATATAAGTCTTTTTTCTTTCACCGTGTCCATGCGATTTTAGGTCTAACTTCGTCCTCAGTGGCGGAGCCACTCATTGGCAAGGGGAGTCAATTGACACCCCTTCATCGGAAAATTACATTGGGTAAATACGTTAAATTCTTAATTTTATGTGTATATACTATACGTTGACTCACCTTGATTTCTTTGTGTGCTTACTTATATCCTGGCTCCGCCACTGCTCGTCTTTTTAAACACCTTCACTCACATGGCTCCCCGCCTACAGACATGTGAATCTGGAGGTTGACGCAGGACAATGACCAAAACACTGAACAATATGACACAAATTAATTCAAACTAGGAGTGTGATTAAAACATACCCATGACTCCACTAACAACGCTACGAACTGCACAGTTGTTCCAAATGTCTTGTCCCCTTATTTCCTCCACAGTAGGCATCCGAATAGGCTCAATCTGAGGCTTCTGAGCTTGACTGTACCTCATTTGATTCAATTGCTCGATCACTCATAGCAGCTCTGATAAAATGAAACTGCAATTAATTTAAGATAAATAGATTGAAAAAAGAAAATGTTGCATTACAAAGATTGAATTTCAAATAATCTTAGGTAAGAGGAGGTTTTGTGTGGGCGGCAACCGGCGGCGTTGTATGTTTAGTTTTATGGCGGGTTTAGACGGGTCGATTCAAAATGGGTTCACGGGTTTGGAGTTGCCTGGAGCCATAACCGGAATATAAATGGGCTTTAAGCCACTTGCTTGTGGAAAGCCACTTTTTGGCTGATTTGCGCAAATGACCATTTTTAGGCTATTGTTTAGATTTTGTCCCTATTTTCAAATTTTGTGCAAATATCTCCTTTGGAAAATTACCCCTTTCGGACAATGTTAAATTCAGGTCTAATGCTTGCACATATAACTTTTAGTTTGCTTTCAAAATATTGGATTATGGTCTAACGTTTGTAATACCATACAAATTTTTAGACAACATTTTCTCATCAGGTTTTTAGATTGCTTGAAAAGAATCTTTAGACCGCTGGTTAAAAGGTCTATCAGTTGCAAGAGAAATAAAAAGAGTGTCATTTACGAAACAGTTGATACAAAATGGGACAATAAGTGAAAACTCCACCCGCTTTTCAGCCTTTGTAATTGAAAAATAATCATCATCCGAAAAATTCAAATTCCTTGAGTGGAACTTCAGGTTTATCTCCTAGAGTTTCACTTATGGAATTTGAATCACTAGGACAATGGCTATTTTTCAAAGACATAGCCGAAAAATGGCCAATGGGCTCTTTCTATCTTGAAAATTATATGAACGATTACCAAACTAATAACCTGTTTGACCAAGCTTCTCCAAGTTCAAAACCAGTTTTTTTTTTTCAAATTTGAAGTGTTTGGCCAAGCTTTTAGGAGAAAAAAATGTGCTTCTGAGGAGAAGCAGAAACCGTTTTGGAGAAGCAGAAAAAAGTAGCTTCTTCCCATAAGCACTTTTTTGAGATGCACTTTTGAGAAAAATACACTTAGAAGCACTTTTTAAAAGCTTGGACAAACACTAATTGCTGCTTAGAAATACTTTTTAAATTAATTAGCCAAACACAAATTGCTTCTCACCAAAAGTACTTTTGAAAAAAAATATTTCTCAAAATAAGCTGATTTTTCCAGCTTGGCAAACGGGCTATAAATGCAAGTATATGATCTAATGTGTCACAGGCCATGTATCATTCGTGCGAATTTTAGTGATGAGCGTGTATTCTAGAGCTAATTTCTTATCAATGAACGTGATTTATAAGGTTATTTTTTAGAACTCACGAAAAATCAACAAACGTTTTAAAATTATAAAGAGGTTATTAGTATGTTTTTATCCTAAAAGTTTTAATAATTAGATTGCCTTGTCATTAGTTTAGGCTGTTGACTCTAATGACTCCTGTCAAGAGGACAGTAACAAAGTTAGAAAAGTTGTTTCACATAAGAAACTTAAGAAAGGTTCAGCTAATACGTAAGTCTTATTTATGTAAAGTAAAGACCAAAGATACATAGCGATATGTCGACCCTAAGCTACAAAGACAAACTCAGAAGTTGTCTTTGTATTATTTTTCTTGATCAAAGTAGTATAATTTTATTGATAATGAGTTAATGACTAATGAGAAAACATGCTTCGGTACTATTTAGCTGCGGACCATTATAATTACAATCTACTCTTCTTCACTGGTCCCATCTCCTTTGCCTTTGTCCTCAACAAGTGCTTTTGTATTTTCCCAGTAGCAGTCTTTGGCAATGGTCCAAACACAACTGATTTTGGAACCCAGTACTTAGGCATTTTCGATCGACTAAAGTTCATAATATCTTCTGCCAACTGTTGTTGATCTGTTTTCTTCACATCAGCCTTTAATGTCACGAAAGCACATGGCGATTCACCCCACTGCTCATCGGGCCTTGCCACTACAGAGACCTCTAGTATTGCTGGATGTAGATATAGGATATTCTCGACCTCGACACTACTTATGTTTTCACCACCAGAAATGATGATGTCCTTTGATCTGTCTTTGATTTCTATATATCCGTCCGGATGCTTAACTGCAAGATCACCAGAGTGATACCAGCCTCCAGCAAAAGCGTCCTCGTTAGCTTTAGGATTCTTCAGGTACCCTTTCATTACAACATTACCTCTGAATACAATCTCTCCTATTGTTTTGCCGTCTTCTGGGACAGGTTTCATGTCTTTTGTGCTAACAACACCTAACCCCTCCAAACCAACATATCTCACACCTTGGCGTGCATGCAGACGTGCCTGGACGTCTGGGGGAAGTAAATCCCACTCGGGCTTCCACGTGCAGAGAGTGGAGGGGCCATAGGTTTCAGAAAGTCCATAAGTGTGTAAGACACGGAAGCCACGTTGTGACATTGCTGCAAGAACAGGAGGAGGAGGAGAAGCACCGGCTGTGCTGACGTGCACAAGACGAGGCAAAGGAAGGATGGTCTCCTCTTTTGGGGCATTAACTATGGTGTTGAGCACCACAGGAGCAGCAGAGAAATGGGTTACACCAAGATGGGCTATAGCCGAGTAAACAGCCTTTGCAGTTACCTGCATGCAGAAAATGAGAAAACAGAAGGGAAGCTTGTAAAGGGCCAGAAACAAGCAGAAATAAGGAGCAGTGTGTTCAAAAACCAACTTAAAGGCATTTTCTTTTTACCTCCTCCAATTTAGAAAAAGACCTTAAGAGCCAAGTTCTCCCATTTCAATAATTGTTTAGATAATTGAGTTTCACAATGCAAACCTCCTAAGCAAAATNCCCCCCCCCATAATTAATAAATTCCCGTCTTAGTGTCAATTTCATACACACCCAAACGCTATTGTCCCTTGTCCAATCTACATGGTTTGAATTTTCTCTAAATGTCAGCACTAGGAGATATGCTGAAAAATAAACGATTATGACTTGTAGCCGTCCATCTTCAATTAGGATTTGGTAATCCAATACTTCTTAGGTCAAAGCACACTATAGCTGAAATCTATTTTTTTCATTTACCAATTGGTTTGGCATACCTATAACAAAAAGCAGATTACGCGCTGCTCTTTATTAAGTTGTAAATAGGGCATGAGAATCTCCATGCGCAGAAAAAGAACCACGGAATTACCTGTCTAAGGCATATGTTAGTCCCACAAATTGCAGCAAGCGTCCAAGCGAAACACCAACCATTACAGTGAAATAATGGCAGAGTCCACAGATACACAGCTCCCTCTTGCATACTCCAAATCACAGCGTTACTCAGAGCCATAAGATAAGCGCCACGATGGTGCAGCACCACTCCTTTAGGACTAGCTGTTGTGCCGGAAGTATAGCCCAAAGCAATAGTTTGCCACTCATCCTCTGGTGGCTTCCATGGAAAGTCTGGATCGCCAGTTTCTAGGAATTTCTCGTATTCAATAGCCCCTTTCTCAAGAGCATATTGGACTGGCGCTGGATCACAGTTTTTATCAGCAATTACAATCAGAATTGGAGCCTTAAATTTTCCTTTACTGTTATTTTCCCATACTTTTAGAGCTTCCTCAGCCAAGGGAAAATACTCTTGGTCCACCATGACAACAACAGCCGAGCTATGGCCCAAAAGAAAAGCAATCGTTTGTGCATTTAGACGAACATTAACAGCATTTAAAACAGCTCCAGCCATTGGAATTCCAAAATGAGCTTCATACAAAGCGGAGATGTTTGGGGCAATAACTGCAACCTGCCAATGAAGCGGACAAAACAAGGATAAATAGGGGCATCCACGGGGATACAGGAAATGCATTTCATCAATAGGACAACAATATTGATATCCACAACAAACTAATTGAAAGTTTCGGCATTTTTGTTCATTTAATATGGAGAGACAAAGTGCAACAGGCAACAGAACAAATAAAAGTTGGTGTACATAATACTTAATCGCCTCTTCTTAAATTGATGATCCAAAGACCCAATATATAAATTTTAGATTCTTCTTTCATCCAACTATCTTTACTCATCTTTTTTTAATCTTAAAAGCCATTAAATAGATTAAAACATGTAGGCTGAGAAGCAGAACCATGCATTATTATATCCTACTATGACGCCATGAATGAAATTGGCAAGCCCATTACAAGAGGAAAAATATGGGAAAGGTCAACTTACAGCAAAGAATGAAACTTTGGGGATTGAGAGGCAGAAAAACTAATTAACATTCTACATACTTATATCGAGAAAACAAAGATCCTCTAGTAAACTCAAAGTTAATATCATTTCTGCTGTCTGATTTATCACTAGAAAGTAGGACTGGTTTCGATGTAAAGAATAGTTCCCACATATGTTGTATACTACTAGTAGATGAAAATCCGTGAAAAATTATCCTTACTAGCTTAGTTTATTATAGTCTATGACATACTGATTTCTAATTTTCACTTCCTACTTATATAGTTATATGGAAACCTATTAAGTTCCCTCTTCTTCTCCCTCTCATGGTCACTCTCTCTCAGGCTCGCACACCATGTTTCACCCCAAAATCAGACTGAGGCTATTATATATTAGATTCATCTTTCTTTATTCCTGTTATTGCAGAATCTGCTTGTGGATGGCAACGTAATGGATTGCCTCATGAGAATAGCACAGATATACAAAATCAACTATAATGATGGTTAGTTTAAGTAAATTTTTGCAGCAAAAGCAAAAAGATTTAAACTGAAGATTTTGATCGGACAGCATGCATAAAATCAATCTGGTTAAACAGTTCACTGAAAGACCAAAATGATATGCAATGGATAACTCTAACACAAGCCTTATAGGGTTCTAAGGCTAACCGAACAACAATTGCACCAGCAAAAGAGCTAAAGAGCAGATGAAGCCAAAACTAGTTTGAAAAAAACAAAGATAATGTAGTGGTACAGTGAGATCAACTGATCAAGTGCCGTGGTGCTCTCTCTAATACCAATGCATAATCCCTTTAAGGCGTATATTGCATCTCTGAGAGACTGAGACTTGCATCAAAGAACTTCAGCTAGATTTCTGCTAAAATATAGGTTACCAAGCACTAGTTTTTGTAATAAATCTCATAAAATGCAGCAGTGGCCTAAAAATGCAATAACACTTGGAAACAGGACAGTGAGATTAAATAAAATTGGAATATTTCTAAAAGGAAATTACCTCCACCCGTGACAGAAGTCAATTTCCCCATTTTGGTGAAAAACATCTTTCTGGAGAAAAAGATTATCC